AACAAAAAAGTATTGCTTCACCAAAAAAACTTATCATGTCTGGTGTGATCCTATTATATTTATAAATGTATTAGAAAAAGAATGAATATCGCTAGATCTCTGTGCACTGAATCCTAGAAATATTCATGAAATCTTACCAGCAGGAAAACAAGTTAGAGGATAATATATGTGTTTGAGAATACTTCAGTAGAAACACATAAAAGTGCTATAAATGCCTTTATTCATGTACGAAAGAGGAGAAAGATATGAAGGAATACATACTACACTGTTAATATTGCTTACATCAGGGTGATGAGAATGGGAAAGAAACCCAGATGAGCAGGTTTTCCTACTAGTTTCTAATTTTTTTACTTGTCACAACAAAAAGTCACTGTTGTGATGTGAAATATCAAAGAAAATTACAATCCGTAATTAGAAAAAAGAACTCAAGGAATCTTGTGAATGAAGAAAACAGTATAATTGACAATTATATCTAAATAAACAATGAGATACATGTAACCAGTAATACCAGTGTTGAGAAGGAATGCTTAAAATAGAAGTGTCATAATGTAAAAATGTAATAGTGTGTGTCGGGTATGATTCAGATGCCGTCCAAAGAAATCATTCTAGGTAGTTCAAGCAGAAAAAGAATCCAGCTATTGTATGAGTGTGTGTGATTGGTAGGAACTTGAATCCCATCTGCAGTTCTGGATGCGGAAGAGTCTGGGACAGATAGTCACTGGATTGCCAACCGCTACAGGGAGACATGCTGGGAGCAATTGAAATTCACATTGATGAAGACACTGCACAGAGCATGCCACCATCCTGCCACTGTTCACGCCCCAATCCATCCCCTACTTACGCTTCCAAACATCAGCAAATATTCACCTCCCAGAAGGAAAAGTGCCCACCTTGAGCAGGTCTGAGAACAAGAAAGGTAGAGAACAAGTACTGGAAAGTGTAGAGAGAAAAGAAATAAGAAAATGCACCCAGGAGAAGGAGGAGGCATATTTAGGAGAGAAGTTATCATCTTGCAGTGGCTGCAGCAATATCTCTTTGGCCATGGCTGATAGTAGGAGCCCTCCTGTTTCAGACGAGTTACTTAAGAATCAGGAAAAGTCCACGTATTTAAGGAACTGCCCATTGTTGTAGCAACGGAGGAGGGAGCCCTTGAGCTAAGGAACTAAGAAACCCATTCTAACTTCCCACCCCTCCTACTCAGGTAAGGTAACTCTTTTCACTAGCTGGTCCGTGAAAATCTACTGATTTTAAAATAAGAAAGAAATGTGGAAATCACATAAGCCATACAAAAATACTGTTTTTTAAAAGCAGAAAAGAGTAGCAAAGCTTAAAAACATTTAAAACAGGATTTTTAAAATCTTCAGTAAAATGTCACCACAAACCTGAAAAAAATGGATATTCCAAAATGAATGTCCAAAATTACTGAAGCAAATTGAAACTATGAAGAACCACCATAAAGCAGAAATATAGAAATTCAAAGAAGAAATAGCAAGGTAACAGGAAGATGTGGAGTGAAATCTGACAGACCTCGGGGGAGAGATTGAAGACAAGAACAAAAACATTGCCGAAATAAAGACCAAGTAAGGACAAAAGGAAAGAAAATAAGAAAAGCAAAGAACCACAAACTAAAAATGAAAAATAGCTTTAAAATGATTTCAGAGAAAGTCTTCAGTATAAAAAGTCACTAGAGACGCAAGAGACATATAAATCAAGTTGCACAAAGGAGAAAACCAAAATACACACACACACACACACACACACACACACACACACACACACAAGAAGTAAACCAAAACAGCAAAATAAAAGAATTATTTAAAACCCTAATCGAGGGGCGCCTGGGTGGCTCTATTGGTTAAGCGTCTGCCTTCGGCTCAACTGAGCCGGGAGCCCGATTCTCTCTCTCTCCCCCTGCCCGCCACTCTGCCTACTTGTGCTCTCTCTCTCTCTCTCTGTCAAATACATAAATAAAATCTTTAAAAAAAATAAAACCCTAATCGAGGAAAATATTTCTGATATTAAAGCAGGCTCGAGTCTATGTATTGGAAGTTCACACCGTGGTAAACACAAGACGCATGCGAGTAAAACGCTTGGGCTGTAAAGATAGACATAGAAACCTCCAGGAACGCAACTCCCCTCAAAAACCAAAAACAAAAACAAAATTGGAAAAAAAAATCAGATGGAATGATGGCCAGAAAACAGCAGAGCAAAACTTAAAGGCATTGAAGGAAAGAGTACACACTGAGGATTTTTTTTGCACAACTACAAGAATATACTTCTGGACATGCAAGAACTCAAGGGATCTTGTTTCCAAGAGCTTTCCTGAGCAGTTTCTAAGGGACAAGATACACCCAACCCAGAAGATTTGTGGAAATTACTAAAATGACAATTGTTGAGCACTGGGCATTTTAACCGTGGAATAAAGACTAAGACAAAGTCGTAGCAAATAGTATGTAAATATGCCTTGCTGTGAAAATGTAGAAATAGTAAAATTTCCATCAAATAGAAGGATGATAGGGAAGGAAGTTGGATTAAAGAGTAAGCTCGCTGATTGCTATATATGTAATAGTTTCAAGTCAAAGGATATTTAAAACACAGTAAGCTTCAACAGAATTAACCCCTTTTGTGCATCAAAGGACACTACCAGGACAGTGAGAAGACCAGCTGCTGGGAGAAAAGATTTGCAAATCTGATATCTGATTAGGGCCTAGTGTCCAGAATATATAAAGGACGCGTACAATTCAACAATAAAAAGATGAAACAACCCAATTTTAAAGTGGGCAAAGCACTTGAATAGACCTTTCTCTAAAGAAGATATACAAAAAAATGGTGAGCACATGAAAAGATACTCAACATCATTAGCCACTAGGAAAATGAAAACCCAAATCACAAGATACCACTTCACACCCCTTAGCGTGACTATACAATTTTTTATCTTCACGGAAACAGACAAGCTTTGGCGAGGAAATGGAGAAGTTGGAGCCCTTGTACGTTGCTGGTGAGAACGTAAGATGATGCAGCGTGAACAATCCCAGAGGTCTAAGAGATAACCAAGAGCTTGGGTCTCGTTGATCAATGGGCTCATCTGCTACGTGAGACCCCCTCCGTGAGGACTGGGGGAGGTGGCTGTTTTCTCTAAGGCACAGAAACTAATACAAGGAGCCGGGGAAACTGAAGGCTCCACACTGGCCTTTGGACATCTGGAAATCCATCTTCCACATCTGCAGGCAGCTCCCTGCCGAGCACCCCACTTTTACCCCAGCCTCCAGCTCTGCCTGTCCTGCCGCCTCACCAGACACATGCCAAGTCTCACTCTGCAGTCCCCTTCCCTCCTTTCTCTAGGGACTCCTAACCCCGGGGGAGCCCCCGAAATAGCTGCACCCGCCACTGGGAGGTCCCTGTTCTCCCCTGTTAGAGCCTGAGATTCGAACTCCACCGGCACTCCATCCCCCTGATTACACAGGAACCTCTCAGGGTGGTCTCTTTTGAGAAATAAATGATGAGGTGACACCCTGTCTCTGACACCTTAGAGTCATTTAATAGAGTGAGCAGTAACTTGAGGGCAGGACAGACTTGGGGGTGATGGGAGCCTAAAGGAGGGAAGAGGGTTCCTAGACAGACTTGGATGACCTCATGGTTCTGCTGTGTATGCACCAGTCACATGCTCTGCCCCACGGAAGCTCCAAGGAAGGCCAAAGCCCCAGGAGGAGCCACTCTGAGTGTGGTGGGAAACTATGTTTTAGCATATCAGTCCTACAAAATACCATGTATTCATTAAAAATGATGATATCGGAGGATACTTTAAGACGCAGGAAAATGTCTACAAAACCATCTTAATTGAAAAAGCATTTATTCAATATATGTGCGTAGTTTGTAATCGGGGGAAAAAAATAGCCCCATAAAATTCTCCTTCTACTCCAAAAGAAACACCAGATCATAGAATATAGGGCCCCTCTTTTCCTGAGAGCTTAGAAGACAGCATGAGGGATTCTAGGTAAACCCAGTGAAGAACTTCCTGGCTGTGAGGGTTGTCCTGGAATGGAATACCCTCTTCCTTTCTTAGGGTCAGACGAAGTAATGCCTTGCTTCCAAGGCCCAGGAACTGATGGGGATCACCGGGACACCATGACAGAAATCCCACCTTAGTTAGGAATCAACCGTGGGTCCTTGAGCCAGTTCTTTCCCATCTCCGGCCGACTGTTTCCCCATCTTTCAAGAGGGAGGGTGGGGAGGATGGTCTTGACCTCCCGCAGTCCTGGTAAGGTACTATGGTTCAGTGGGGGTCTCTGTTTGGGGCCCCTTAAGACCCTGAACCCCCAGGGCCTCTTCCACCAAATGCAGGAGCCCTAAGGGTGAGTCCTTGGCTGTGATGATTTTTTGCTCAGGATCTCTTAGGGCCAGGGAAGGGGTCCCAGAAGCCACCTACATCTGCTGTGACCAGTCACCTCAGCCAAACAACCACCCTGATCATTGAGCCAGTCCGAGGCAGAGGGCAGTTCTACCAGAAGCCACTGGAGGTGATTCACCAGAGGCAGGGAGGTCTTTCTCTCCCCTAACCACAGAAGCCCAGGAGGAGAGGCCACAGCTGGCCTCCCTCACCGTGCCTGCCTGGGCCCACGTTCTCCAGCAGAAAGCTCTGACCTTAACCTGAATTCCTCCTAGGCGTCCAGAACTCTGCCACCCCCTTCCTGCCATTCCAAGCTGACTTCTGTACCCTGCCGAAGCCATTGCGGGGGCTGCAAGACCCTGGAGAGCCGGGAGAGGGATCATCGGTCTCAAAAACCTTCATTCTTTGTACGGATGAGAACAACTGAGGCCCGAAGAGGGAGCAGACTTGCCCGAGATCACAGCCCAAGTCCAGCAGGCAGGACTGGACGCTAGCCCCCAACACCAGCACCTGCTCCCACCCACCCATCTTCAGTTCTTGCACAAGCACACCGGAACTGAGGCTCCAGGGTAGGGGGCGGGGCCGGGACGAGGCAAACAAGAGCCACTCCGTCCAGCTCATCTCCTTCCTCCCTTGACTCAGCTGCTCTAGCCTCCCTGGAGCTGCAGGGGTCAATTTAGGGGCCCCCAAGCCCTGCCTTATTAAGTGCTGGTAGCAGAAACATGAGGGCCTGGAGCCTTCTCCTCCTGGTGGCCCTCCTGGCTTTGGGGAGCCAGCTGCCTGCTGCCTCGGCCAGGACGAAGGGAGGTGAGTGTGGGTGGCTTCCTCTGCTCCAGGGACCAGGTAGCTCCTACCTCTCTGGGGAGAGTGAGGGTTGGGAGGGCAGGCAGCGCAGTGTGACGTCTGCATGTGTAGCTGCGGATGCCCGCTTCTGGGAGCTTCCAGCAGCTGGGGTTTGGTTTGCACCTCTCTGTGCCTACCAGCCGGCCTTGTGAGCAGCTGTGGATGTCTTCGTGCCAGGGTCTCGGTGCTCATCTTCCCGTCTGAGTGCGGGATTGTGTGTGCATGTGCGTACGTGTGGGTCTTTGTGCCTACTTGTCTGTATGAGTCTGGGTCTGCACGTGTGTGTTTAGGTGTGGCTGCAGGTGTGTGTGTCCTGGGGCCGTGCCTGTGTGCACGCGTGTCTCTGGGGGACGGGGGAGCAAACCTGTCTGTACCTGCTCTTCCGTCGATGTCTCCATGGATTATTAGGATCTGTGGGCCCGCCTGGCAGCGAGATGACCCCCTCCATCATCTTCTGTTGCTACTGAGGCTGTGCCTGGTCTGGTCCCTGCCCATCTTGTTTCTGTCTTTCTCAGGTCCTTCCCGTGTCCCAGAGACCAGTCTGTGCAAGGGACTCCCAAACTGGGTAGGGGGTGCAGTTTCTGGGATCTGCTGGGAAGAAGCTCCACCCCTACCCCTCTTCCAAGCCTCCTGGAAAAGGCTGGGGCTGACCTGTCAACAGGTGGGGGAGGATGGGGCTGCTGCGAGGCTAGACAGGTGCCTCCCCACCTGGGCAAGGCCTCCACTTCCTGCCTTTCTGGGGCTGGGACACCGTGACCTACATACACCAGTGCATCCCTGGCCCTGCCTTGCAGGACCGGGACAGTAATGGGGACAGGTTCCCTCCTCTGCGGGCCCTGGGGAGCAGCCCCCTGCACCTCTCTGCCCCCGCTAGCCTAACTGATGCCTTCCTCCGAGGTGGGGCTCTCTCTTCCTGGGGCGCGAGCTGGTTTGGGGAGGAGAATGCTCAGACCCAGGCTGAGGAGGGAAGGATGCTAGCAAGTTCTAAGGCCAGACCCCTGCTGGCTGTGATTCATGTGGCTCAGCCGCATTCCTCCTCGCTGAGATGCGGAGAGATTGGGACTATTTTTATCCCCATCTTGCAGGTGAGAAGACTGAGCCACTTGAAATGGCAGTTCTGAGTCTCTCTTCCTTTCTGTCTGTTCAAGGCTCAGCCCCCGGCCCCTCCTCCCAGGAGCTCTCCTGGCTGTGTGACCACCCCAGCCCACAGGGAGATCCCTGTCAGACTTCAGGCACCTCCTCTCAGCTCACGCCCTGAGGCCTGAGCACCTCTGGCCAGGGCTACCCCCCTGGACCTCAGAGCCTTCCCAGGGGCACGCCTACCGCCAGCTGGGGGAAGGAGGGGCTAATCCGGTTAGGGGGCTCCCTCGCAGACTAGCTGCTCTTTCTCCAGCAGGGGGCAGCAATTCAGTTTAAGACAACCCAGTTGAACAAGTGAAGTGGGTTTTGAGCACTTCCTGTGTGAGCAAGGTGCCCCCTATGTGTGTGGCTAGCGTCCAGTTAGGAGCTGGAGGGGAAGGGAGATGCAAGGTACAGTCAGGGCGCTGGCTGCAGGCTGCTGGGGGCTCTTGAACCTTTTCTCAGATGCTAGACTAAAGTGACGGCCTGGGACCAGCCTTCATCCTCCCCAGGACTCAGTGGTGGCGAGAGCAGAGGGGTGGGAGGTCAGAGTCCTAGCTCAGGCCCTTGTGGGTCTGGGCAATCACTACCCTTCCAACCCTTGACTTCCTCCTCTAAATGGAAGAAGATACTGAGTCAAGCCTTCTGCATGGAATCTGGAAATGGCCCAAAATCCTAACAAGAAAAATGGCTAGATCAGCTCTGGGACAGAACATTGTAGAGCTGTCAGAGGACCACCTCAAAGGCGAGTTCATACAGATCCCGGACATAAGGCTAACGTGCAACGAGACAAGCACACACTACAGGTGTGGCTGACTGCGGCCGGCCGTGTGACAGTGCACCAGGCTGGCAACAGCAGACGATGCTGGGTCGCCCTTCAAAATCCTGTCTTTCAAAGAGTCTCTGAGCCCAGCTGCTGGTGTTTTGCATCAAGGACTGTGCCTCAGCCTAACGGTGAGAGAAGCAGGCAAAGGGTCTAGTCTCACAGCCTCCAGCCAAGGGAGAGAAGCAGACAAATAGATGCGGAGTCACAAACTCTGAAGGAAAGAGTGTGGGGTGAGGGGGGGGAGGCTGACCTAGTTAGTCCTGGGTCAGAGAGGGAGGGTGTCCCCAGGATGCGAGGATGCAGTGTTTCCACTGAGACTTGACGAATGTGGTGGAGAGAGCACTGGGCAAAGCGCTCAGCAAAAGCAAGGCCCCACAAAGAGAAGCAGCTGGGGAGCAGAGCAGGAGCCCCGAATGGAAAAGGTGTTGAGGATGAACACAGGGAGGCGGGCGGCCCCAGGCCAGGCACGGCCTGTTGGCCCAGGTGCAGATGTGGAACTTCATTTGTTGCCATCCTTCATGTCATCTGAGTCTCAAACCAGCCCCGGAGGGAGTCCAGCTTCCCATTGCACAGAGAGAAAACTGAGGCTTGCAGTCAAAACAAAAACAAAAACAAAAAACTTGCCAGCCACTTGCAACAATGTGGATGGACCTTGAAGATGTTACACTGAGGGAGATAAATCAGCCAGGCAAAAACAAATACGGTATGATCTCAGGTCAGAATCAAGAAATCAAAACAAAACAAAAAACAAGCTCCTAGATACAGAGAAGAAATTAGGGTTTGCCAGGGGTCATGGGTGAGAGGTAGGGGAAATGGGTGAAGGGAGTCAAAGGTACAAACTTCCAATTATAAGAGAAATAAGTCGTGGAGATGTAATGGGCAGCATGGTAGCTATAGGTAATAATACTATATTACATATTTGAAAGTTGCTTAAGAGAGAAAATCTTAAAAGTTCTCATCATAAGAAAAAAAATGTCTAATGATGCATGGGGACAGATATTAGCTAGACTTGTGGTGATCATTTCATTATACATAAAAATATCAAATCATTTTGTTGTACACCTGAAACTAATATGTCAATTATACCCCAATAAAAAATTTAAATAAAAACAAATAAAAGCAAGTCCACCCCCCAAAAAAAAACAGAAACAAAAACAAAATAACTTGCCAAAGGACAGGCAAGAAATAAGGGGTAGAGAATTTGGATCTTGCAATTCCCAGAGTGGTGCTCATTATATGACGTGGAACTGCCTCCAGCTGCAAGATTTGGGGGTTTTCTTACAGAGAAATTTGGGGGCTGCCCACCGGACGATGGGCCCTGCCTCCTCTCGGTGCCGGACCACTGCTTGGATGACAGCCAGTGTCCTGCAAGGATGAAGTGCTGCTACAAAGCTTGCTTCCGCCAGTGTGTCCCTTTGATCTCTGGTAAGTGTCCCTCTCTACCTTGCTGAGCGCCCAAGCCCCGGGGCTGGGCACGGGCAGGGCTCACCAGGCCCCTGTGTTTCAGTAAAGCGGGGCAGCTGCCCCAAGGACCACCTGCACTGCCTCAGCCCTGTGCAGCACCTGTGCAACAGGGACTCAGACTGCAGGGGCTCCAATCGGTGCTGCCTCGGCGCCTGTGGTCGAGACTGTCGCAACCCCGTCTAAGGTATGGTTCCTACGTGCCTGGGGCAGGTTCTTTCCCTCTCTTAGCCCCAGCGTTAGATGTCCTTCCAGGTCAATAAGCCTAACAGGACACCTACCTTCCCGGGAGCCTGGGGCTGCCCATGCCAGACCTGGGGAGGAAGATGGGGATGGAGGGCTCCTGTTGGGACCCGTTAGGACCAAGGAGGAACCGGAGACCCTCCATTCTCTTGCTGATCTTGCAACTGCTCTGAGCTTCAGTTGGCCCTTGTGAAGGAGGGTGGGCCATCCTGCCTGAGTGGCCGCCAGGGCTGGGCTGATGGGGTGGATGGGGATCAAAGTTTCTAAAGACCCAGAGTCCTGTGATGGGGGGGGTGTAACCCTTTCCTTCTCTCTCCCCAGGCTAATTCTGGTTTCGGATCCTCAGCATGGGGTCCCTAGCAGGAATGGATGATGATAGGGGGCCTGGGACCCTGCCACCCAGATCCCGCTATCTCTGCCAGTGGCAGTTTCAACCTTCTGATGAACACTGATCTGCTGTCACCTCCCTTGCCTCCCATCCACCCCTGGTTTCTCCTCCTGGGAGTCAAGGTGCATAGATAGACTCCTATCACCCTGCGCCACCTCCCTATCTCCTCTGGTGTTTCCCCACTTAAAATGCCCAATTCAGGTAGGCCCCTCTTTGTGGGGTCCAAACCCCTCCCCTCAGGCAGCCCAGCCACCTTGAACGTACGTTCTAGCAGAGTTTTCCAGACATTTTCTATTTGCATACCCCTTTCCACCATTTGTGACACACCTGCACAATAGCATCTCAGTATCTTGCATACTGCCTATACTATTTATCTAATGTCTTTCTTTAAATGGACTCCCTTTTCTATATAAATAAATTTATTTCAAAAGAAAACCTTGACATCATCACTATAAATGGAATACGCAGAATCACTTGCCACGAATAAAATGTGATTGTAAAAGCAAATGCAGTGAAAACAGCTAAGGTCCAGGGGCGCCTGGGTGGCTCAGTTGGTTGGGCGACTGCCTTCGGCTCGGGTCATGATCCTGGAGTCCCGGGATCGGGTTCCGCATCGGGCTCCCTGCTCAGCGGGGAGTCTGCTTCTCCCTCTGACCCTCCCCCCTCTCGTGCTCTCTCTCTCAAATAAATAAATAAAATATTAAAAAAAAACAGCTAAGGTCCATTAAAGTAAATGTTGTCAGATGAAACAATATTAAATAATAGTATTAAATTCTACCTAGATGCTGCCACCTGCCAACACTGTGAGCCTGAAGGCTGTTCTCTGTCTCTGGTGATAAACGAAGATTAGCAAGGGTTAAAGACAAGTTAAAGACACAGATCTCAAAATTGTGACCTCTTTCCCGGAGTAATCAGAAGGGCTGAGAAGAGAACTTTCTCAAGCGTCAGTGTTGTAAAATGCTGTATCCAGGTCCACCCTAAGATCATTTCAAATTGCTCCACATTTGGGGAATGTTGCTGGAACGGTTGGGATGTCATTATTTATGGGAGAGTCTGTCTCCCATTGGACGATACCTCATTCACCTGGGATTTCTCAAGGGTCAGTCTGTAGTCAGGACCTGAGAGGGTGGGGGAGGGGGTCAATGAGGGAACGACAGCCATCCCAAGGGACATTCCTGGACCCAGAGGGCTGGATTCCTGACTGTCCCCGTCACCCAGGACTTGCTTTGGGGAGAGGTGGGAGGCGGCAGGCTCCTCCCTGCCTTTATCTGCTGGGTTTCCTCTTGTGTCCCAATGGAAGCCCCAAGGGGGGAATCTGGGGCTGGGCAGTCCACCGAGCAGGTTAAGTTAGGAATCCTGGGTCTTCTTTCCTTGGTTTTTTGACCTGACAGTGTAGTCACGGGTGAGTCACCACTCAGGGATTTTGTTTGCCCTGTTGGAAGATGAAAAGAACCCTACTTCCTCACTCATCGTCCTTCTCATGGGGTTCAAGTGCTGAACTCAAAATCAGCAAACGCTAATTATAGGGATACCTGCTGAAGCCCAAGAGAGGAGGGGGAGGAGAACAATCTGAGTCATTGACTCCCTGTGAGCTTGGGTATTTCCTTTCCTTCTGGGCCTCAATTTCCCCATCTATAAACTCAAGTGGTCGACACAGATAAGAGGGTACATTGTACTGTTTGCCCAAAGACACACCCCGTCCCTCCCCACCTTTGCCATGGCTTCCCTCGGGAAGAGCACACATCCCCCACCCAGGGACTTAGGGCTTTGCACTGGGACTGATGGAATGTGGCCCCAAGTGACAGTGCACCAGTTTCAAGGCAAGGTACCTGCCTTCTTGGAGCTTCCACCCTCTGCCATGAAAAGTGCTTGCCCAGAAGCCACTGGTCTTGGGATGAAGGATAGCTGAGGCAGGCCTGATGTTGAGCTGCCAATCCTTTAACTTGCAAGAGCAAAATAAATGTTTGTTATAGGAAGGCGGTGAGATGGGGGGGGGGCAATTGTTACAGATTTATAGCAGTGAGAGCTCGTCGAATTCAGATAATGATCGTTACCCTTGAGTGAGTGCCCATTCCATGCCTCACACTCTAAAACATCATTTCATTCTTCCATCCTATAACCCTGAGGGAGGTGGGCATTCTTATTCCCATTTGACAAGAAGAACTTCTGAGATAAGTGACTTGCCCAAGACTCCCAGTTAAGAGGTAAAGTAGCCACGATTCAGCCATACCATATTCCTTAGGTGCTAATAAAATCAGCAACAGCGGAAATGAAAGCAACCACCCTATGCCGGGTGTCACTTTAATTATTTTACACATATTATCTCATTATGTCCTCACAGCCTCACTATGTAGGCTTCATCATTTTCCCCCATTGCACATATGACGAAACTGAGGCACAACGAGGTTGATTTGGCCAAGATTGTACAGCTGGTAAGTAGTGGAGCTGGGATTCAATGCCAAGCAGTGGGACGCCAAAGCTAACATCCTTACTGACTCCACTGATTACATCCCCTCTTTGAGAATTCCCTCCAGCCCTAAAGACTCCGTTTGCACATCTGAGACATGGGGATCACAAAAAGCCAAGAAGTTTAAGTGACTAGCCTCAGTTCCGGGCAGCTGGAACCCAGCACATTGCCCTGGGTTTCTTTCCTGAAAGCCGTCAGGAGGAAAATTAAGGGACCCCAGGACAAAGATCCCAGGTGAGTGGGTTAGAACGCAGCTGCTTAGGGCCCCAAGGCTGAACTGAGGCCCTGAGTCCCGAGCTAGGATCCTGGAGCAGCAGGAGGGGGCAAGTCACAGGCCACGGCTTCTCTGGCTATAGGTGGCAGCATCTACACAGTCTCTTCTAGAGTCTCCTGCTCAGCTTCTTGGCTAACTAGCTACCTGCCCCCTCAGGTCTGGGCACTGGACTTGGCCGTGCCAACTCTGTCCTCAGCCACCAAAGTCCAGCCCATCCAGCACCATCTCCACTGCCTGTCTCCACTGCCCTTCTGGAAAGTATTCTGGGAGGCTGGACACCTGTGTCAAGGAGCCTGGGTCTTCAGCCTCCAATCTTGTTTTCTTCCCTCACTCGAAGTTTACTGGGCACTTAGTACAGGCTCTAGGCGGTGTCATCACAAAGCACATGCACTAAGAGGATAAGACGAAGCCCCGCTACAGAGTCGCATGACATGCTTCCTAGGGAGAAAACCAGGAGACTGTGGGATGCCAGGGGGGACCTAGCTCAGCCTGGAGACCAGAGAGGATTTCCTGAAGGAGGTGATATTTGAATATTGAATATTTGATATTGAATTTAAGCAGGAGTTAGCCAAGCATGTCACTGCGAGTCATCCATTCTCCCCTTCTTCCTTACCCACAGCAATGTCCCCACTTGGAAACGTCCAGCCACCCCCCGCCCCCAGGCTCCTGGATTGCTGGTGATATTCTATATTTTGACTTGGGTGGCAGTCACGTGGATGCATAAATTTGTAAAAACTTAATTCATTTGTAACTTAAGATTTACTATAAAACATTATATTCCAATTTTAAAAAGTAAAAATTAAGTTTTTAACAATTTGTTTCCCTTACACCTAGAGATGACCATGTGACCCAGAACTGGCCAATCAGAAGCTTGGGGAAGTCTACTGGGAGGGGCTTCCCAGAAAGCCCTTGTCCTACCAGATGTGACAGATCCCTCTTTTGCCCATCATCCGTTTGTCCTTTGTCCAGAATTCTGGAACATGGATGCTGCAGCTAGAACGGCTATCTGGTGACCTTGAAGATTGTCTTAGGTGGGTTCTCTGGAAGCAAATCTTTAGATGAAGATTCATAGGATGGTGATGGTTTGGAAATGTTCCAGGAAGAATGGGTCTGGGAGTGGAGAGGTATACCAGAAAGGGGGAGAGGCCAGCAGGGGTGTGACAACAAGCAAAGTCCCACAGGCGGGGGGTTCTAGAGACAAGAGTAGGTGACTCTTCAGAGTTTTCCCGTGGAGCAAGAGAGCTGGAGATTACTGTCTCTGTACCCCTCAGTCATCAGCTAATAACTCCGGGATGGAGGACATACATTCCCAGGCACTTCAGGCTCTCCCTGTGTGCAGGCAGAGCAAGCTGCTCGGCCTTCAGGAAGCCCTTTGACAAAGAGATGCAGATACCAGCTGTCGGAGTGAAAGCGTGCCAGGAGCCCGTGCACACAAGGTGGCAAAGGGATCCGAGGGGATATGGGCAAAGCACGGGCCTCACCTGCTACAGGCATGAGAGCCAGAGAAGAGTGGAGGAGGAAAAGTCAGGGAGCCTGGGTCTTCAGTGCCGTTCCTGGGCAGCTGCACCTGGACTGCGGAAAAGAGTCACCTCCTCTCCAGAGGCCGCAGTGGCTCATTTTGTGTTTTTGTAACTATATTGAATCTTAACTGATACGCTGGGTAAAGAAAGGGCAGGAAGAGCTGTTCATGGAGAGTGAACAACATGTGCGCCTCCTTACCACACTCCTGAAAGGTAGGCGTTGTCCCCATTTTACAGATGAGGAAGATAAGAATTCAAGAGGAGACATCACTTGGCTCCTGATCCCACCGCCATTTAGTGGTAAAGGCAGAACGCAAATCCAGTGTATTCGTTATCTATTACTGTGTAGCAAATTACCAAGCACTAGCCACCAAGCGGCTTAAAACAACACCCGTTTGTTATTTTGTAGTTTCTGTGGGTCAAGAATCCAGGCACAGCTTAGCTGGGTCCTCAGCTTCAGGGACTCACAAAGCTGAAATAAAGGTGTTCAACCAGGGCCGGGGTCTTAACTGAGTTGCAAGAGCAGAAGGACCCACTTTTAAGTTCATATGGTTGTTGGCAGAATTCCAGTTCTCTGAGGGCTTGTAGCACTGAATTCCTCAATTTCTAGTTCAGCGTTGGCCAGAAGTTAACCTTGCCTTACCAGAATGACGACCTGCTTCATCAGAACCAAGAAAAGTCAATCTTATGTTACCTAATCCTGGAAGCAACATTCCCTTACCCTTGTTTGCCATATTCTGCTCATTAGAGGCAAATCAGGAAATCCCGCCCATGCTCAAGGGGGAAGGATTATACAAGGGCATGAATACCAGGAGGTGGACATCACTGGGACACATTCTAGAAGCTGCCTGCCACACCTAGTCTACTTAATTACAAAAATTTCTATACTTTATGCAACATCGAGCTTACTCTTTAGGGTAAACGCTCATGGATTCAGGGGCGCCTCGGTGGCTCAGTCCTTAAGCGTCTGCCTTCAGCTCAGGTCATGATCCCAGGGTCCTGGGATCGAGCCCTGCATTGGGCTCTCTGCTTGGCGGGAAGCCTGCTTCTCCCTCTCCCACTCCCCCTGCTTCTGCTCTCTCTCTCGCTGTCTTTCTCTCTGTCAAATAAATAAATAAAATCTTAAAAAAAAAAAATAAACCCTCATGGATTCAGATGGCCAGAACTGGCTAGGGACTGAAGGAGAATTTGGGGCACAGCCCATTCGCAGCACATAATGGGTACGGATACCCCCCTTTAGCCTCAG